CTCCAGTACCCTCAGCAGCTCCAGCACCGCCAGCACCTCTAGCAGCTCCAGTACCTTCAGTCACAACACCGCCAGCCCCAGCAGCTCCCGTACCCTCAGTACGAGCACCTCCAAGACCAGCGACACCAGCAGAAGAACCTCCAGCAGTAGAGCCCTGAGGTGCAGAAGCGCGACGCTGACGGCGACCGTACCAGTCGTGCAGCTGCTGGGAGGTGAGGGGCACACGCGGACGAAGACGGCTACTCCAAGGAGACCGCGGAAAAGCAGTCGCAGAACCCTCAGGCGACTCACCCCCAGACTCAGCACCCCCAGGCTCCGCACACGCAGGCTCAGCACCCCCAGACGCAGCACCTCCAGACGCAGCACCCCCAGGCTCCTCGCGCTCAGCGCCCCCAGGCTCAGCACCCCCAAGCTCCGCACCCCCAGGGACAGCACCACTCGCAGCAGGACCGGAGTCACCAGTGACCTCAACAGGCGCAGGCGCGGGGGGGTCTACCTGAGAGACACCTGAAGGAGCAGGACCTGGCGCGGGGAGGGGGTCTACCTGGGGAGGACCTGGGGCGAGAAAGAGCGGCGGGGGGGGGGCGAGGAGTAGTGCGGTAGGGGAAGAGGCGGTAAAAGGGGACGGACTCGTCAAAGGTGACGTCCTGAGACGCAAAGACACGTCGCGAGGCGGGGTCGTAAAACTGCCAGCCAGGCGCGTCAGGGACAAAGCCAAGGAAGACGCAAGGAATGGCGCGAGGGGAGAGCTTGTCCGCGGTGGTATCGCGGACAAAGGCACGAGCATCACGGACACGGAAGCACAGTGGAAGACCGTGCAAGCAATGGGCCCCCAGAGGGGTCAGCCAGTGAGACAGGAACAGGTGCAGGGAGGGGAGTGACTGTGGTACTGTCGCGAAAGAAACAGCGGGAAGCACCAGAGTCAAGTGTAAAGGTGTGCAAAGCCTGTGCAGGCGCAGTACCAAGGGGAGCAGACTCACAAGCACCTAGTGCTGCAGGGGCTATACCAGGGGTTATACCAGGATCCGGCGGCACACACAAGTAGCAGTCACCCTCAGCACTAACAGACAAGGCATACATAGCAGCAAGAATTGTCTCATAGTCAAGATCAAAGATAGGTACATCACGCCTAAGCAAGTCTGCCCAGTTGGGGAACTCAGTAGCATCAGGAAACTTGGCGCGCCAGGCGTCGCTAAGCCGAGCGAAGCAGCGCTGCTCAGTGTGAAAACCAGTGCACTGGCGACCAGCGCGGGGACCTGTGCGGATGATATAGGGGCAGCGACCAGGACCCCCAGAAGCCCCACGCCCGTCATACCAGTCAAGAAGCTGCTGGGAAGTGGGGGTCTGGCGCTGACGCTGATGCTGCTGCTGCTGCTGCTGCGGCTGCTGCTGCTGCTGCGGCTGCTGCTGGCCCTGACCACCACTGCCACCACCGCTCCCTCCTCCCCCACCTCCGCTGCTGCCGCCTCCACCGCTCCCAGTGCCTCCGCCGCCCCCACCACCACCTCCACCGCCTCCACCCCCACGACCACCCCCACCACCGCCTCCACCTCCACTACCTCCACCACCTCCACCACCTCCACCCCCACCGCCCCTGCCACCCCTGCTGCCCCTGCCGCTGCGACGCTTCCCACTGGGAGCGGAAGCAGCTCCGACCCCCTCAGCACCAAGGTAGTCGTGAGCAGCAGCTGCGGAGGCGTAGGAGGGGGTGAGAGGGGAGGGGGAGCACCCCTCAAAGAGGGGAGAGCGAGGAGTGCCACGAGCAGCACCTACAATGAGGATGTTCTTCTCTGCTGCGAGGAGGTGCTTCTCGAAGTCGTCTACAGTGAGGGTGGTGGGGTCTAGCGCTAGGAAGTGGTCCCTGATAGAGCTAAGAGTGTCAGGGAGGCGGGTGACGAGGAAATAGAGAGTGAAGTACATCGGGGGGGGGGGGTTTGCGGCGCAGAACTCGGCTGAAAGGGCGGCACGAAAGCGAGAGTCAGTAGTGCGCAGGTGAGAAACTAGGTCCTCAGCAGTGGTGAACGAGGAAAGATCGGGGAACAGGTACGGTAGCATGAGTCGACCTATGGCTGCAGTGGCCGGGGAGGAGTAGCGCGCAACTACAGCGTCGTACAATGTCTGAGCAGTTCTGTGCTGGCTGAAATGCGCTCGCTCAGTAATCGGCAGGTGGTTCCTAATAGCTAGACGTGCAGCAACATCACGAGTCTGCCACTGGGAGCGTTATGGAGCAGGAGCATCAGCAGCAGGAGCAACGGCAGAGCCAGAGACGTAATCAAACAGGGAAACGCCATCTTTGGCATCAGTCAGAAGGAACAGTTGGAGATCGTCTAACCATACACTGAACTCGATGGGACGACCGTCAGGCTCGAACGCTAGAACGTTAGGCGTCGCCATATTGGCTTAAGGCAGGAGGTAGCAGGCAGCAGGCAGCAGGCAGAGGCTGCAGGCACCAAGTAGGAGGCAGGAGGCAGAGGCAGGAGGCAGGGGCAGCAAGCAGCAGGCAGAGGCAGCAGGCACCAAGTAGGAGGCAGGAGGCAGAGGCAGGAGGCAGGGGCAGCAAGCAGCAGGCAGGCAGGAGGCAAGCTGCAGGCAGGCGGCAGCAGGCAGCAAGCAGGCAGGCAGGCAGGCGGCAGGCAGGCAGCAGCAGGCAGCAAGCAGGCAGGCGAGAGCAGGCAGCAAGTAGCAGGCAGGCAGCGGGCAGGCAGCAGGCAGGTTGCAGGCAGGCGGCAGTAGGCAGCAAGCAGGCAGGCAGGTAGGCTGCAGGCAGTAAGCAGGTAGGCAGCAAGCAGGCAGGCAGGCAGGCGGCAGGCAGGCAGGTAGGCTGCAGGCAGTAAGCAGGCAGGCAGAAAGCAGGCAGGCAGGCAAGCGGCAGGCAGGCAGGTAGGCTGCAGGCAGTAAGCAGGCAGGCAGCAAGCAGGCAGGCAGGCAGGCGGCAGGCAGGCAGCAGCAGGCAGCAAGCAGGCAGGCGAGAGCAGGCAGCAAGTAGCAGGCAGGCAGCAGGCAGGCAGCAGGCAGGTTGCAGGCAGGCGGCAGTAGGCAGCAAGCAGGCAGGCAGGTAGGCTGCAGGCAGTAAGCAGGCAGGCGGCAGCAGGCAGGCAGGCTGCAGGCAGGCGGCAGCAGGCAGCAAGCAGACAGGCAGGCAGGCTGCAGGCAGTAGGCAGGCAGGCGGTAGCAGGCAGGCAGAAGGCAGGCTGCAGACAGGCGGCAGGCAGGCGGCAAGCAGGCAGGCAGGCAGGCTGTAGGCAGCAAGCAGCATGCAGGCAGCAGGCAGGCAGCAGGCAGGCTGCAGGCAGGCGGCAGCAGGCAGCAAGCAGGCAGGCGGCAGCAGGCAGCAAGCAGCAGGCAGGCAGCAGGCAGCAAGCAGCAGGCAGGCGGCAGGCAGGAGCGGCAGGCAGCAGGCAGCAGGCAGGCGGCAGGCAGCAGGCAGCAGGCAGGAGCGGCCTGAGGGCTGCGTGTGGCGGCTTGCTGCACGAGGCTGCGGGCTGCGCGTGGCTACGGGCAGCGCGCGCGGCCGCAGGCTACGCGCGGCGACGGATTGCGCGAGCTGCGGGCTGCTTGCAGCTGCGAGCTGTGCGTGGCTACAGCGTGCGCGACTGCATTCTACGTGCGGTTGCGGGCTGCGCTGGGCGACGGGCCGCACGTGCGCGGCTGCGGGCTGGTCGCTAAGCTACGGGCGACGGGCCGCGCTGGCGTGGCCTAATCAGGTTTCGCACGGGCGGCTTAAGGGGCGCACAGGCGGGGCCGAAATGGGCTACGCGGGCTGCTGAGACGGCGCACGTGGGAAAAAAAAAAGGACCGCCCGAGGCGCGCGGGCAGCCGAGGCGCGCGTAGGCACTAGGTAAGATAGGCAATCGTGGTGGGCCCTAATCGTAGGTCCTAAGGACCTATGCTCTATACCATGTCATAATCTTACGGGGAAGTTGTGAGTGTCGACTATCGAGGGAAAAGTACAAAGCAGAAACCTAAGGGGTTGTACCCCACAGTGAGTACCCCACTAAGCCTAACCAAACTATAACATATATACACATATGTTTGACAGCAGCAAGGGCTGAAGCTGCACTAGCAGGGCTGTAGCTGCAGTAACAGGGGCTGGAGCGGCAGCAGCAGGGGCTGTAGCGGCAGCAGCAAGGGCTGTAGCTGCAGCAGCAGGGCTGTAGCTGCAGTAGAAGGGGCTGGGGCGGCAGCAGCAGGGGCGCGATTCGAGTAGGAAAAAAGGCCTGCCCAGGGGCGCGATTCAGGCAGGAAAAACGGCCAGCCTAGGGGCGCGATTCGGGCAGGAAAAACGGCCTGCCTAGGGGCGCGATTCGGGTAGGAAAAATGGCCTGCCTAGGGGCGCGATTCGGGCAGGAAATACGGCCTGCCTAGGGGCGCGATTCGGGTAGGAAAAACGGCCTGCCTAGGGGCGCGATTCGGGCAGGAAAAACGGCCTGCCTAGGGGCACGATTCGGGTAGGGAAAACGGCCTGCCTAGGGGCGAGATTTGGGCAGGAAAAACGGCCAGCCTAGGGGCGCGATTCGGGGCAGAAAAACGGCTTGCCTAGGGGCGCAATTCGGCCAGGAAAAACGGCCTGCCTAGGGGCGCGATTCGGGCAGGAAAAACGGCCAGCCTAGGGGCGCGATTCGGGGAGGAAAAACGGCCTGCCTAGGGACGCGATTCGGGCGGGAAAAACGGCCTGCCTAGGGCGCAATTCGGGCAGGAAAAATGGGCAGAACTGAACTAACGGTGGGCCCTAAACGAGTGGTCCTACAGATGGACCTGCTCTGAAACCATATTGAGAGAACTGTGCAGGGATGAATGACTAGCAAGCAAGGATGAGTACAAGTACTAGGTTTGACCTAAAGTGTTGTACTCAGTAGAAGCTACCCCACTACAGCCTACACATACAAATGTAATTTGACAGGTGGTGGTGGTGGTGAGTTAATAAATGATGGCGGTAGTGGTGGCCCTACGGGAGTAGGGAAGCTTGATGAGGAAATTGGAGGAGAGAGGGAAGGAGTGGATTAGAAGGAGGATAGGGGTGGAGGTGGAGGGAGTGTGGGTGTTGATAGAAGAGGCTGCTGGGGGGGAGGTGGGGGTCTTTCAGGGGAAGGAGGGGGCAATGGTGATGGTGGTGCTAGGGACGATGGTGGTGGGGGAGGGGAGAAAGACGGGAGAATGAATGGGTCACCGGGAAAAATGGGTACGTCTGGGGAAGTGAAAGCACTGGAAACGGGTTTACCGGGTGGGGGGGGCGGTATAGCAGGGGGTGAAGGAGGTGGGGACGGGGGAGGACGAGGGGGAGGGGAAGGCGGAGGGAAGGGGGGAAGAGGCGGAGGAGGAGGGGGAGACGGTGGATGGCGTGGGGGAGGCATGGGAGGGGGTCGGGGCGGCGACGGCGGTGGGCTGGGGGGAGGGGGAGGAGGAGGAGAGGGAGGAGGGCTGGGAGGAGGCGGGGAGAAGGTCCACGGCTGCACCACCCCACACTTGGCCACCTGACTCATGAAATTAGCTGCCTGGTCTACAGGCAACCCCGCATCCACCCACCCGCTCACATCCGTCCCGTTCAACACCGCGGGGATAATCGTTCCCGTAGACAGCCCATACACGTTCACATACGTGGGCTGTAGGACTGCTTTCGAGTGCCCGTCCGGATACGACGAATCTATGTTGATGTTGTCGAGGCGAATCTGCTGGCACGGCACAGAGGCGCTGCAGTTGAAGGTGATCCCGCGGGTACCGTTGGTGGTGCCCTGCACATTGCGGTATGTGATGTTGAATATGGCCACTGCGCTCTGCTGGACCACACATAAGCTTGCGCTGATGTCGCAGTAGTACTGGTGGGGGCAGTGGGGAGAGGGAGGGAGAGAGAGAGAGTTGGCCACTGCACTCTGCTGGATGAGACATGCGGTTGCGGTATCGCAGTAGTACTGGTGCGGTGGGTTGGGAGTGGGGGGCGGATGGGAAGCAGGGGAAGAGGTTGCATTAAGGGAAGAGCCTGGATAATTTGATTTGCTGGATAACGCACGTGGCAACGTCGGCTGTGACGTTGTTCAGCATGAGTGACATTGTTCAGCATGAGTCTCACACACACACACACACACACACACACACACACACACACACACACACACACACACACACACACACACACACACACACACACACACACACACACACACACACACACTCACACACTTGGTCAATAATGATGGGGTATTTCACATCCTGCATGGTGACGTTTTCATAGATCACGTTCCAGACGGCGCCCTGGCCGCCCTGGTAGGTTTTGATGCGCAGCCCGTTGGAGAGCGCTGCTAGCTGCACGTTCTGCACGCGGATGTCCGACACACACGCCAGACTGCCGCCCTCGCCCAGACTGCCGATGCTGGTGAAGAGAACAAAGGGAGGAAGGAGAAAGGCAAAGAAGTTATGAACATGCACTTGACACACACGCCACACTGCCGTCCATGCCCAGGGAAGAAGGGTGAAGGGAAAGGGATGACTGCACACCGTCGACATGCAACCGGAACCCATGAGACGAAAAAATCATGTACACATGGTCCCATGAACGCACCTGATGCCATGGCCTGCTGTGGCGACCACATTGCGAATGGTGATGTTCCTGCATCCTCCCACCATGGACACATTGTCATCGCCTGGTGCAGCAGCAGGGGGAGTGAGGTGGGGGAGAGAGGGTGAGGGAGAGAAGGGGGGGAGGGGGAGTGGAAAAAGGAGAGAAGGTTGAATGAAGAGGGGGAAGAGGTCAAGCAAGGGAACGGAAGCCAGCCAAGGGTAGCACGCGCCCCATGTTCGGGCCAACACACGGCCCTTGCAAACCCCAAGACTCTACTTCAGCACAAGCATACCGCCCCCGTGCTGAAGCGTAGTCCTCCACAAGCACGTCCGTGGCACGTGTGAGGTGCAGGCTGTCCGTATTGGGGAATCCGTGAGTACAAGTCCATGCGACACCAACTCACCTCCATGTGACACCTCACCTCCATGTGACACCAACTCACCTCCATGTGACACCTCACCTCCATGTGACACCCACTCACCTCCATGTGACACCAACTCACCTCCATGTGACACCTCACCTCCATGTGACACCAACTCACCTCCATGTGACACCAACTCACCTCCATGCGACGAGTAGTCCTCAACGAGCACGTCAGTGGCGCGAGTGAGGTGCAGGCTGTCGGTGTTGGGGCTGTTGTAGGGTGTGTTCGTGCTGATGTCGTGGATCCACGCGCCCACCACGTCCTTGATGTTCATGTGGAACATTGGCGGGTTGCTGCCACCCACGGGCACAAGGAGAAAGGATTCTTTTGGTCAGTGCAAGCAATCCATTGGAGGGAAACATCGGCGGGTTGCGCCCACGGGCAGGAAGAGAATAAAATGCTTTTGGTCACTTCAAAACAATCTTTCAAGTGACATGTGGGCGACTTGTTACCATCAAGAGTTGGGATTATATATATATATACATATATATATATTTTTTCTGTTTTTTCTTTTAGTCAGGTTCATCTCTTTGCACGCATTACGGCTTCCCCCCTCCCCTTTCCCCATTCCCGCTTCTCCGCGACCCCCGCAACCCGCTCCCTCTCACCTCGTCCCCTCCCCTCTCCCCCCTTCCTAAGACTCACCGCACTTGAATGCCACCCAGCTCCATCCCATTGCACCGCGATATAAACAGCAGATCCGGCCGCTCCGCCTTGCTCCCCGCCTTATACTGCGACCACCACACGCTCCCCTGACCGTCGATCGCGCCCGTCCCGACCAATCTCAACCCTGGGATCTTGCTGATTGACACAATTGCGGAATTCGGGGGATTCGAGCCAATAGCAGCGGGATTCGGGTCCGCGGCGAGTATCCCATCTAGCTGCACGGTGATCGTCCCCGTGCCGCACGGTCCGGCGAAATTAATCGCCCGTCTTAGTAAGAAAGTGTAACCCTCGGGGAAGGTAATTGTAGCGCGAGCACTCGTCGCGTTCGCGTAAGCGCACGCCTGCTTGAACGTCGCTTGCAGCGGTCCCGTGTCGTTGGCGGCGCCGTCCCCCACGGCGCCCAGGTACCGCGGGTCGTATTCGCCCGGCGGTAGCGGCGGAAGCGGAGGTGGCGGAGGCGGCGGGGATGGGGGAGGCCGCGGAGGAGGCCGTGGGGGAGGCGGACGAGGGGGGGACGGGGGGGGTGATCGCGCCGGTGGTGGCGGGGAAGGCGGGCGGGGAGGAGGCCGAGGCGGCGGGGAAGGAGGGCGCGGAGGCGGGGGAGGAGGTCGTTTCGGAGGCGGTGGGCTGGGCGGGGGGCTGGGCGGCGGCTTTGGCGGCGGGCTTGGCGGCGGCTGGGGAGGCGGCGGCCGCGGAGGCGACGGGGGCGAGAGAGGCGCATTGGGCGGGAGAATGTTAGGTTTCTTTGGGGGACTCGCCTTGCGGCGGAAGGGCGGAGAGGATCGTCTGCGCCGGTGGGGAAGGGAGATTTTCCAGCGGAAGACAAGGAAAGGCTTCTTCCCCGTCGTCCCCTTACGAGGAGGCGGCGAGCGCCGGGGGGACCGAGGCGGAGGTGGGCGCGCGGACGGAGCCTGCGGGAGGGGACGCGGTATTCTCTTCGCGGGCAGTTTCTTGGGCAGGGGCGAGGTTTTAGCGGCAGCGGCACTGCTCTTGCCACGTTGGCTTTTCAAAGTGCGGCTACTGGTAACCCGAACGGTGGCGTTTCTGACAGGAGATGTAACAGCAGCGGCGGAAATCGTGGCGTCGCGGACGAGGCATTCGGGGGAGCGCTTGCGCTTCCGCCGACACACCCCCCCTGCGAAGTAGCACGCGGGGAACGGCGCGCATCTCGCCAGGGCCGCGGGGCGCCCGCCATTCCACGCGCAAGTCGCGGACGCGCAAGGGTCGGGAACCGCGCAGCCGTCTGATGGGAGGGGGGGGGAACGGAGGAAGAATATATGGGGAAGGCGGAACAAATTTTCGCATACCAGACATGTGGTTCTAAAGTCTCCGTCTCTCCACAGGTGCTGCCACGTTTTGCATTGTCTCTTTTTAACATACCGTATATGCCAAGCCAGTATCACCCTCAAATGTCAGAGCGCTCCGTTCCGTACCTGGGAAATGCCGAACCACAGCGCAGCCGGCCGTCAGAAGGAACCGGCAGTTGCCGTTCCGCCAGCTCTGGCCGGCAGGAGGAGCCCAGCCGTTATCGGCCGACAATGTGGTGCTGCTGAGGCGCGGGTCGGGAGAGAAAGGGGAACGACGCAAGGAGGGGTCTGCGAAAGGAAATGCGCTGTGTTACAGCAGGAGGGGAGTTATGAAGGCGCACGCGCGGAGCTTCACGCACGCGCGTACGAGCTTAGCTGGACACATACATCTGCACGCACATTCACACAAATAACGACTACCGGAGCGCGACATGGTAGACTAAGCACACGCGCACACGCGGCACGAGTCCCTGGCATGACAACAGGAGTGATGGCAGGAGGCGCCCAGCCGCTGTCGGCCGACAGAGTGGTGCTAAGCAGGTGCAGGTCGAGAGAAGGGGGGAAAGACGCAAGCAGGCGGGCTTGTGAGGCTGAGTGGGGAACGAAACCCCGTTGCGTTTTACGCAGGCCGGGGCGGGTGACAGACTCGCACACAAGGCGCTAGCCACACACATGGAACTTCACACACGGAGCTTCACAACACACGAACGTTATACACACGCGCGCGTGCGCGAGAAGAGGAGAGGCTTACAGGAGTGGGTTCACAACAGTCGCGGCGAACGACTGCGTGCGGTTGTCGAACACGCACGCTACGGCCTGCAGCACCGACGGCGCCGGTGGCGCGTCGCGGTCGCGGTCGCCGCCGGCGCCACTACCGGCAGATGAGTCGTCTACCCGGGAGGACTTGTGGACGGCGATCGCTGGCGAAGAGAGGTGGAGGGAGGTCGGGGGAAGTGGGGGGAAGGAGGGGGGAAAGTGGGAGAGTTCGGGGAGAGAGGAGGTGAGGGGAAAGAGAAAAGGTAAGAGAGATCGGTATCTGCGGTGCCGCTGCCACAGCGTCAACTGACAGCATCAACCGTCTTCTAAAGGTACATGCTGAAAGTGTGAAGGTTCGGCGTGAGGCCTGCCGTCGTGCTCATGACGGTGGTTGACAGACCGACGTTGACGGGAGACTGACGGAGCAACGGGCGTTACCTGGGGAAGCTAACGTCAGCAGCTGCACGATGAGAGCGAGGAGTAGTCGCACTCGCACTCGCACTTGCAGCTGGTGGTGGAAACGTGCGACGCTTGTGCGACGGCGGTGCGCGGATCGCATGGCGACTGGCGCCATGGATCGGCATGAAGGACGCAGTCGCAAAGGGTCTACTACCGTACAACCTAGTCTTAATCTCCAATCCCTAGGTAGTATCTAAGTACCGAGTGCCGATAGCATCGGAGCCGCAGAGACGCGACGCGGAAACGGTTTACTATGTTTTTATGGCGACGCGGGGATGATATCATAGGACCATTGTGCTCGTACACCCCTGCTCGTCTACGATGCTCGTACGGCTGGGGGGTTCGAGGCGCTCTAGGGTGAAAGGGAGAATGCCAACGGCTTAAGATCACTAGGGAGTCATGCGCCGAGAGTCGAACGGGAATGCCGGAGACATGTAACCACTGCCAAAACCACTGCCGAAAGGAATCGGAAACCCGAAACCAGGGCGGTCCGTCATTCCCTCGGCAGCAGAGCTTTCAAGTTTCCCGCTGGCGCCCTTGCCACAAACAGCACGTCGATTGTGGTGATGTGTGTCAGTGGCAAGGGCGTGGTGGAAAAGGAATAGTGTATGGAAAATTCCTTTTCCTTCGCGTCCGTGCTCACCGCGTACACCACTGTTTTCCCGCCAATAGCACCCCACAATAATCCGTTACCACTCGCGACATTCGCCTCGACACTATTCCCGCCACTGTTCACGACGCGACTCAACCTCACGGTTCGGTTGGTAACCCGCGCTTCGGACCTCCGCATCGACAAACCCCAACCTCGGCGCCCCGTCGCGCACCCCATTTCCCACACGTTACCGTTACAACTGTAGCTTCGCTATATATTCTTCGCTCAATCCTTCGCTCATTGTATTGTTGGCTCGATAGTGCAATCCTCGCTCACTCACTCAATTGCGCTCGTAACACTTGGTATTCAGAGCCTACTATCTTCTCTTGGACCGCACTGTCGAGAGAACTATGCACGAATGATTGGATTAGCAAAATAGTTGGGGTACAAGTACTAACCCTAGAAGTGTTGTACCCCATAAGGAGTGCCCCACTATAGCCTACAAGTAAGATGGTACTTTGACACACCCCCATAGGCTAAGTGGGGGACAACAAGACGGTCACAAGACCAGTCAAGCAAGACGATAGAGCAAAGCAAAGCAAAGTAAAACTCAGGGTGGATCTCAAGGACACCACACAATCTTAGCACAAGCAAGCGGCCACAAGGCCGGTTCACATGCGGAGTTATAATAGCAAGGCAGTACACTGATCACAACCGAGCCAGAGCAAACAAGCAGGTATAAAGATATATATCAGTGTACAACAAGAGGAAGCCAAGCAACCATCAGGTGAGGCAGAGTGGGCACAAGCCAAAGAGAAGTACAGAAACGCTGATGATCACCAGACCCAAGGGCCTTGGTGAACCCATCAGCAGTGTTG